AGTTCATTGTGAGGTGCAACATGTGGATCGAAATAACTGCTAAATCCTATTCCCACTCCTTCCTTTAGATAATAAAGTCAACACAGTTCAACGGGGTACTACGAACCTTTGGTTTCTCCCTGGGCCTCGATGGAATTGATTTGGACAATAACGGGTACGCCGACATGGTAGTCGGAGCACCTGCCACCAGTACCGTCATTGTCCTGAGAACGCGACCCATCATCGAGTGAGTAGTACTTTAAGCTACCTTATATTAACCTACATTTCCCTTACTAAAAACCTAAAATTTCCTAACGTCTTGGTAATTACTATAAAAGCGAAATTTTTGTCTATCCATTACCAACATTTTCATCTCCATCACCATTGTCTGCTTCCTCTAGAGTGACTGTGCACATTTTCCGTCCTGACGGAAACACACAGCTGGACCAGAACCTCCAGCTGTTGCCAGACTGCACCCGAGAGGCCCAGCAGCTGGGAGGTTACATCTCCTCTAGTGTCCACTGTATGGACGTGAAGATCCTCGCCACATTCAGCAGCATCGACAGGTAATTTTGCGCCACCACTAATCTGTGAGCGTGTTCCCTCAAGTAGACTTGAATGCTTAAATTCTCTTCATTGTAGGATGTTCGTAGAATTTCATTATTAACAGATTTGTTTTGTTTTAATGCTCCTGCAACCTTCGAATCGATTTTCGGTCGACTCATATAGCATGATTGATTAACGAAAGGGAACTTTTGACCAGGCATATCTTGCTAGAACCAGGGCTGCGGTCTGCACCAAAACAGCAGTAGTGGTAGGAAAATCGAGAAGCTAACCGTAGTTCCAACGTATTTAAATGAATATTTCTTAGATGTTCTTGTAAGTAATTATTTACTCCAGCGCATATAATTTGATTTTCTAATGTATTAAGGTCGGTGACTTAATGCCTGATAACTTTCCATCACATTTTTAACTACTGACAAGCTTAGAGGATTGTATGCCATTGCTTCAGTCGTTTATGGATTCTATAGCCCGAATAAATTGTGCGCAAAAGTATCCACTTTTCTACCCATTATGGCATCCACTTCATCGCAACCCTCGTCCTGCGTCTATGGTATTCATTCGGACTACTTTCCGCGCATATTCGTTGACGTGAACCTGCGGTGATAATGTGTTCCTAAAACCAACCAGCGATCTTTATGTTTGAAGGTTTTTTCTCCCTTGCTCATGCCTTCCGACTGCTCCTTAGTGCTCATTCACCCCCTACATGTCTAGATTTGAAATACTGAGGTTTTAAAATCTAGTGCATTACTCTTGAGTTTATTTAACTGTTTAACTTAGATACCTGCATTTTATGTTTTCTCAAAAGCTTGAAAAAAGGTACAAATATTTTACGACGAAAGTTGACTACTAAGGCTTTTTTTAGAATAACATACCTATTTTGTTTTCAGCCATCTTTTTCACATTGCGTTTCGTATGTTTTGAGCTCTGCATCAAATGAAAGAGATAGAAATTCGATACCATGTCTAAGGTAAATGGTGCCCGAATTTGGCGTAAATCCTTCGGAACAAACTTCTTAAGCATCGAGCCAAAAGTTACTATGAATACTTGAACTTAAATCCATCAGCTACTGTGAAATAGCCGCGATTATCAATAAGCTGCCATCGGGCAGTCAGTAGTATATGAATATGTAATTATTCATAATCCGTGTCTGCGCCTTAAGTTATTACCTCTGCGGTAAATACAGTAAAACAATTACATTTAAGATGTTTTACCTGATGCGGTCATCTATGGATACATTTCCCGCCATTTTGCATCCGTTTAGGGCCTCCTGTAAGCTATCCTCCCTACCGATCGATATGCTGCTCATGATTAACCCCCCGGAAAGATGGATCACCGAAACGTTTGCCTCCAACAAAACGACTGAGAGCCCTGCGACTGACATTCAGGCTGTGAGTTTCTTGGATGAAAAGGAATATGTCCTATCGGCAGCAGAACTTCGCCGCTTCTACAAACAAGTGCCGAGTGAGTTGCCAGAGCACACAGATGAGAGACTTCCG